TTTTATTTAGACAAGAGGAGTGTCTTTGTATCTATATAAGAGGGGTGGCTGAGAGGGAGAGGGGTAAGGGGGGGGTGACATCATAAGACCCTGCAAGCAGAAACAGATGTATCAGTATTCTTTATATCTATTTAAGAGGGGTGGCTGAGAGGGAGGGAGTAAGGGAGGGGGGGGGGGCACATGATAACAATATCTAGTCACATGACAGCACCTGCAGCTCACAGTAATGCCCTGCTGAGGAAGGGGAACAGTCTGTCCCCAAAACCTGCAGGGTGAAGGGTGTCAATCATTTCCCACATCTCAGTCAATGTCATTATTATTATCACTGTCCATGATTTTGCTGTAACTTACAAGCAATACACTAGGTGACAACTTTTGGGTAAAGCACACATATGATGAAATCTCATGTAAGGAAGTGAAAACAGGGTCCTCATATATTTCAAGTGACATATTAGTCTGTTCAAGCTACGGCGTGGGAGTCAACAGGTATTAACCAGGCACTGCTGAACAGGTCTTGGTTTAAGCAGAATTTTTAATCCTCAAAAAGTCTTATTTTCATCACAACAGCAAAAGTTAAACAGATGTGTTATTATAATGCTGAAGCAAGAGCAAGGTCAACAAAAAAGGAAGGGTGGATGTCTGAAACCGAAGACAATTACTTAAAAAATTTTAAGCAAGTTCTATGCTGGGTTCAACAGGTCTCCAAGTTATTAAAAATCTTTCAAACATCATAAAACTACTAGTACTAGTACATATATGTAGATATGGTTTCCAGAATAAAATATTATTATTTCAAGATGAACTTTATACATTTTCAAAACTTTACACCTAAGCATTTTTGCAAGTTTTATGTATGAACTTAACAATCCACACAATGAAAGTTTTCATTTTTACCTGTGGTTTTGGGCCCAGTATTTTTGAAAACAGTGTATAAGTCATCACATTGGTGGTGGGATATCCCACTGCAATGAGGAAAGTGCCTGAGAAATACTGTTCTATGAATATTTTGGGTGTTGTCAGACACCATGAGAAGTAGTAGGGACATCCTGCTGGCTTTAGATCTGTAGTGTGAGCTGTGACTGTTGTCTTGATGGTGGTGACTGCTGCAGTAACATTCCTACCCAGGACCTCTACCTCCTCCATTATCATACCTGACATATCAGTGACTGATGCTGATGAACTGTTGGTTAGTTCTGTAATAACAGATGGCAACAGCATGTTAAATTTATAAACAAAATTCCTGTTGACATCAAATGTAAGTAATGATTAGGATCATATGGCCGATAGAAATTCCTAATGAATTAAGCCTCCTGCACTTCAGAATCCAAAATTCCTGGCCATGCACCTGCTTGAAGGAGATAGACATGTCTTTGTTTTAAGTTAAACCAGATGAGAACAAGATTTAAGAAGTTGGCACACATATTTTAACTGAGTGTCCACAATCAATACCCAGTTCTTCACCATACTTGATTTACTGATGAGAAGTTCAAAGCTGACCTAGCTTGTTTGACCAGTGCCAGCTGGGAATCTTAGACTGCATTCCCACAGATTTAGATCAATCCATCTGGATAGACCTAACTCTCTGGGAGTTCACGCTAAATTGCTGTCAGCCGAGTGCGCACGGAAGTTAATTACCCCCTTACAGCTTTTAGTAGGTGGGACAGACATTTAAGCCGGCTATGCTGACAGTAATCTAGTGATACTCCCCAGGGGAATAGATCGATCTAAAATCTGTGGGAATGCAGTCTTAGAAATCTCCACTTACTGGCAATCTCCACATCTGGTCTGGCGGGACCCCACGGCAGGTAGACGATAAAACCAGCCAGCACAAATATGAATCCTCCAATCAAAATGAACCTCTCATTCAGTCTGGAAAGAATTTTAAAATGAAAATGAAGTTTATTTTAAATCACAAATAATTGAAAAAAAAAAAGTCTTGAAGAGAACATTACTGCAGCCTACTAGTACACACCTCAGGCATCTGGCAACAGTGGTGACATCTGGTGACAAAGTCAAGGTATAAATACTGTTTATTATACAATAATAAAGTAATATAAAATAGTTAAATATTAACTTGTAATATGCAACTGGACCCTGACGCATCTGGTGACAAAGTTAAGGTATAAATATTGTTTATAATATAATAAAAAAGGTAATATAAAATAACAACATAAAAAAATATGGCAGCGCAAATAACTGACTATAAATTTTGATATATGTTGAATACAGCATGGTTTTACATTAACATATATAAGATTAGAATCTTTACAAGTGCAAGCATATATTTATTCCTTGGCGGTTTACTTGTATTTTACTTGTACAATACCACCATATAGTGTTTATTAACAGTCTTCACTATCACTTACTTCCTTGATAAAATCTTGATGAGAATAAAGACCACAATAGCTATGATGCCAGCCACAGCCAGTGTAATACCCACATACAGCGAGGCCTGCTCCTCTGTCCAGGCATACTCATCCATAGTCAGCGGGGTAGCTATACTGTAGAATACAACACTTTAGCATCGAATCAAACAGTTCTACAAATTGCAAAATATTTTAATAACAAAACAAAATCCATGGGAAAATGGACACAATTATTAATAAAATTATTTACAAGTTTCTATACAAAGAATAACATATAAACAAAAATAAATATATGTTACACTTTACTGGTATGTTACTAAAAACCACAAGATATACCAAGTTTTAAACTCCTTTAGGCTGTGTGCAGATACTTACGTTTCAAATATGGAAAAGACAAATAGCACAATGAAGAAGATGAATAAAAGAACAAGAACAGCAATTCTGTCAGGCTTCACTTCAATGCCCAGTGGTGTCGCTAGAACAGAGAATAAATAAGGACATATTATGACTAACATCAGGATTTGACCAGACTACAAAGAGGACCAACATTAAAACTTCTAAAATTCTAGGGATTAATAAATGTAATGCTTTGATTAGCGCCACTTTAACTGATTTTTATACCATCTACTCCCCAGCATTAAAAGGATCGACGGGATATATTCTTTAACCATGCAAACTATACTTCAAATATTTCCACAAGAGTAGCAATTCATCAAGTACACCATATATGTGACTTACTATCCTGAAGATGTGCATCATACTCGTTAAGGTCAGCGTTAACAGAGCCTCCCCTAGAGAAGTCCAGGTCACTATCGTCCACTACGGTGTGTTCTCTAAACACCACCACCAGTAACACCACATTGACCAGGCCTAGCACCGCACTGAGAAACACTGGCGCCGTGTACAGGTTCAGAGGCAAATACTTGTACAGATCACTGCTAGTTTTTATGGGGTAACCCAAAGGTACCAACATAGCCTGTATACCTGAAATATTACACATGTTATATAAAGTTTTATGATATACAGGTTCAGGGGTAAATCATTGTACAGATCACTGCTAGTGTCTATGGGGTAACCCAAAGGTACCAACATAGCCTGTATACCTGAAATGTTATTAATATTTTTCAGTTATTGACTCCCTTAAATAGGCAATTTGTGTATTAATTATGTCACTGGGTGAAGTAATAACCTACCTGGTCCTAGAATAAATCTTGTGACCTGGCAGGTACTCATGCTGGTAATAGCACCTGTTAACCTACCTGGTCCTAGAATGAATCCTGTGGCCTGGCAGGCACTCATACTGGTCATAGCACCTGTTAACCTACCTGGTCCTAGAATGAATCCTGTGGCCTGGCAGGCACTCATACTGGCCATAGCACCTGTTCTCTCTTTGATGGTGGTAGCACCAGAGGTATAGGATCTCACCACGGCAACATTACCTTATACATGGAAAAGAAAGGAACACATAGCTACGATGTGAGAAGTCAGTTTTCATACTGATAGAAATTGTAGTCTTTTACTTTATCAAAATCAACTGCAAATCCATATCACTGGAGAATAAAAGAAGGAAGGTAAAACTGAAGGAAGGAAGGAGGAGAAGAAAGGAAGCAAGAAAGGAAACTGTAAGATCATACTATGGGCAGAGGACACAGGAAGGGAGGAACAAGTTAGGACGCATAATCATATTAAAAAATGGTTACCTGCCCCAAAGCCAATCAATGCCCTAGCCACAATGAGATAGTATTTTCTATAGGCTGCTCCAGGGATGTCCACTATGTAAGCATACATCAGATTGGCCAGGATGTTAATGACAATGGAGACCACCAGAGGTTCGCGACTTCTGCGTCTACATGTGGCCCAAGCCCCAAAGACTGGCGACGCTGCCAGCTGACCCAAACTATAAGCAGCCACTACCCAGCCCAGGAATGCTGTGGTGGCACTGCGGTCCAGCTGAAATATCATTTTAATAATATTACTACTACTTCTACTACTACTAGTAATAATGATGAAAATAATAACAATAATAACGGTTTCCTTTATACTAATAGTGCATGTGAGATGTCTGTGATAAAATAGTTTAAACAAGTGAAGGTAAACAGACATCAATACTCCTACTACTTCTACTGTACTGTACAGTGCCTGTATGTTGGAAATAATGTACAATAACAAAACAACAACAGAATTCAATATTATATTTGTAATCCAATCTGATAAATTAGTAATGGAGAGTTGAATGTCTCTGCTGTCTGAAATAACCTCTTATCTAGGCAATGTGACATTTATGTTTATGCTCAAACTAGTAAAGAGATGACAAGCAGATGTGTAAAATGTGATATATTGTATTCAATCATATTGAAGTCATCACACCTGATTTAAGAAAACTTCTTTGTCCCAAACCATAATGTAAAAACTGAAATGCATACATCTCAGAGTACAAATCTCTCTTCACAAATGTAAATGTAATAAATAATGTGTCAGGAAACATAAGAACATTAATCACAAGACAGTGCAATCACCCAGAGGCAAAGGACATCATAAGATAAGTTCATAACAAACTGCACCACTCATAGAGGTGAAATAAGGTGCATTGGTTACTCTGACATTTCACACAGTGAATTTTGAATAGATATAAGACCAAACCATGTGGATGTCAAATCATAACATGTTGTTTGCCAAACACTGACGCCTCCTGGAATTAATTAATTTATTAATTAATGGATCACATCCAAAATCTTCTCAATTTTCATGGGTCCCCCCCAAACAGTTTCTGCATAATGTTCCAAGCAGAGAGACAAACAATTAAATAATGGACCACTAATTAATTAACTGTCACCAAAATCTAACTGCTTGTTACTTGTTCTCTTTCAAACAGAATCTGAAAATTTCTTCAGATTTTGTCTACTACTTTTTGCATGGAGTTGCTAATAGAAGACCAACAAACAGACAAAACATCACCTCCATGGTGGAAGTTACTACTGGTAGTAAAACTTCACCAATTGAATAAAAATAAAAATTAGACAGCAAATCCATATGTCTCTTCTGAAAACTTTACAGTCAAAACAAAGTACCACAAATTCACAGACTGCACACATTGTAAATAACTGTTTTTATGTGCACATTGTCTGATATCTTCAAGGACTGCAATTCAAAAATCATTATCTTAGATAATATCAGTCAATGTTTACCTAGGTAAGATAAGACTGTAATCTCATCAAAGCTTCACACCACAATTTCAAATCAACCTTTCTGTGGTACGCTGAAATAGGCCCCTCGTCCCCTACCCTCACTCCAGGCAACAGAAAAGTTTTTAGGACATCCAGAAAGAGACTGCAGAAGTTCAGTATTAATCCCTGAATCGGGAGCAGCTTGCACACACTCTTAAGATCATTGAATGATATCACCATTCCCTGCTACCACAGACATCTCTGTTGGTCAAACATCGACAGGGTTAGCTATAAAAGCAGTTGTAGGAAACAGCACTCCTACCTCTATACACTGGTGAAGACTGTCACCTACCCCAGTAAAAGCCTTAGAGGCACCCAGGTATAAATATGTATACAGGTCTACTTACCATGCGCAGATATGGCCATATTGAAGACATACATATGGAAAAACTGACACTGCTCAAGAACATGGTCAGGTACATCACTCTTATAGACCTCCATCTGCTCTTGTACACATTGGGTGGCTCTATCACTGTACTGGGGACACCTACTGGAGTACCAGACCTGGAGAGAGAATGAATGAATGACTTCGTGTAAAAAACTCATCTTGTACATATTCGGTGGCTCTATCACAGTACTGGAGACACCTACTGGAGTACCAGACCTGGAGAGTGAATGAATGAATGAGTGAGTGAATGAATGAATGAATGAGTTCATGTAAACAACTCATCTTGTACATTTTCGGTGGCTCTATCACAGTACTGGAGACACCTACTGGAGTACCAGACCTGGAGAATGAATGAATGAATGAATGAATGAATGAATGAATGAATGAATGAATGAATGAATGAGTGAGTGAGTGAGTGAATGAGTGAATGAATGAGTTCATGTAAGCAACTCATCATTCTGCATTAACATATGACCAGATAATATTTCAAAAACCTAGAACAAAATCTTAACACCGAATTTTTGCTTCTTTAAAAACCAAAACAAAACAGTGATTATATGCAGACAAAAATTGTATTATAAATGACGATAAACATAAAAAAATCTGAATGAAAAAGATCAATACAACAATCTTTTTTGTACCAAGAAACTCAAGAACATATGGGCTTCTACATTAAAATTAATTGAAAATGATGAATTTAAACAAACATTTCATATTTAGTAAAGGAGTTATATAAAATTAAACTATCATTACAACAATTAAGGAAGCTAAATTTTACAATTTAAAACCAAGAAATAGCCTGGTACAAGTTAACACCTAGACTGAAAACACCCACTGTTGCCTGTTGTTGTGCAAGGACATGTCTTAACAAAATATATATTAGATATATATATTAACACCTGGGCTGAAAACACCCACTGTTGCCAGAAGTTTTGCCAGATTTTATTTACAACTTTCTTGCATGGAGTTGCAAACAGAAGGCCAACAAACAGACAAAACATCACCTCCATGATGGAAGTTACTACCAGTAGTAAAACTTCACCTGTTACTTCTCAACACGGCTTAAAGTGCACACAACCTTCTATCCAGTACAGTAACTCTTGTTGTGGAAGGACACGTCTTAATAAAATATATTAGAAACTGTTCCCACTTATCAAAATTATTTTTTATTACAAGTGTGCATATACATATATGATCAAAGACAACTTACTTATACTTCATGGTTAGCGTCCTCTAATGTCTGCAGCGCACACAGGGTGGGTATACTCTACCTGCTACACATTACTCTAACCCTTATCAAACTTATGTACAGGATATAAGCCAAGCCATACCCTGATATAAGCAGTCAAAAAAGAAAATAAATCTGTCAAAATCTCGTGCCTCTGTGTAATGTTCTGGTCATCTGACCAGCAAACACTGCACCACCTCAGGCTAAATATCCTCAGTCCTCAGTAAAACATTTACATCATTCATTGCCTATAGCACAGTGTGAAACAAACAAACAAACATCATTACGACTGCGTGCAACTTTTATAATTCTAACAGCAGGTGCTATATTGATTTAAATGTAGTAAACAAAAGTTTAACAAAAAAAAAAAAAAAAACAAAAAAAAAACAAGGGGAATAAAAGATTCAAAATACTTATCAAAAATAATAAATTATAAGAAAAATAAAAATGTATATACTAATCTATAAATGACCAGAGTTGATACATGGAATATCTGAGATATGCAATACTGAAAATACTTACTGTAAAACTTCATTGTTCAAATTTACATTCTAAAAAATGTTTCCCAATTATTTTACCAGTAGAGCAGTCAACTAATGCTGTAATAACAACCTATTTCTTATTTTTTTTAAATGTGGACATTCCTGTCTTAGTATATCTAAATGTTTTAAGAAATGCTGAAATGCTATCAGGAACATGACTGATACACTGTATAACTTTCCATCTACTCATATTGTAGATTCCCTCTCATATTTTCAAACAATTAAACATTTTAAATGAGTCATCCCAACAAATCTCCCTCAGTGAAATATCTTTTTTCTGTTTTCATTTCTTCCAAGCTTAAGAAATAAGATTTCACATAAGTTGCACATACTTTAGGTTTTACTTTCAATAGGACAAAATGATCCATAAGCCAGTTTTACGAAGTGAAAAATCCTAGTGTCTACCAAAGGGAAGATCTAGCTATGTAAAAACAGCCCATGTTATTTTTTATACGTTTCAATACATTTTTGAACAATTGTGCACTTACTTTTGGACATCTGTTCCATAATACATGGTTTCTGAAAGATCTGATAACTAAATCATACATCCTAACAGAGACCACATCCCTACACCATGTTACCAATGACAATAAGATGGTGTCTACTTTTATAACAGTTCACTTCGGACCAAGAAACACATAACATCACATTCTATATCAAAGTCCCGTAAGTACAGACAATGATCACCTGATAACTTTACGTATGAATAAAGGGTTGTTACTATTATTCTTCAAGCTTCATTGATTGGCCCCAGCACAATAACACTCACTATCAGTGACTGATAAGACGGCCATGGAACTATAAGGCCAAAGTCCGTCTAGTCATGGGATGTCAGACTCAATGGTCATATATCGACAATTCATAACACTACGTAACAGTGCTAACTTCCTTGAATACTGCTTCAGTACTAGTAAACGCACCGTTCCAAACCTGACTCCTGATTCACGTCCAAATCCGGGTAGATGTGCGAAGTGTCCGCTCCTTCGCTCGGAAATGCATCCTCTGCTTCTGGCATTATCGGGCTGATGATTCCGAACTCCGTCAGTAGAGAGCTCCAGGTCCAAGACGAATCAAGAGTAGTACTATTGTTTAAAACTTTGAGCAAATGTATCAAAAACTCGCTTTACGGTATGTAAAGATTATATAATTATGACCCTTTTAAATTATTTTGTTGGCTGTTACCACGCTCGGCTGTCACCTTGATTGGATAGTAAACGATTGTCGTAAAATCGCTAAATGATATTAAAACCGGGTGCATAAACTTGAAAACCACCTACAACAACCTTGGACTACCACATTAATCCAATACAATGCAAAAATAAACTATAACAAGTGGTTAAAGCCTTCAAACCGAATGTCGTAAAGTCCCCATATACCTCCATAGAGACAATAAAATAGAATGAGCTTCTGAAACAAACCTGATCCAGTTCCAACAGAATAATCGAAATAAAATACTGCCGGGCATCGGAGCGGCCTAAAACTTGGCACGCTTACCGCTAATACTGCAGGCTACATCATCCCGTCGCTCGTTTGTAAATTCCGTGCATGGCATACGCACAATCAAACCGTAAAAAACAAATTCTCGGGGTGTCGTTGGC